GTCAGCTTTTCAGGACTGGTGGAAGGATATTTGGGAAACGCGACGGGCAGGTGAATGTTTGTTGGAATGGTGGGAAACGCGTGCCAAACCTGGAATAGCGAGTTATTATAAGAAGCGGGGAAAAGAGGAGGCGAGGTGGAGGTATGGGCTGCAAAACTATCTGGAGGGGCAGCTAAATGATTACTATGTGGGGGGCGGGAGTAGTAGTCGGTATGACGACATTGAACATCTTCGTAGTCGACTTGCAGAAATTCACAATGAACGTTTCAATGCGGTTAGAGTCAGAGCAGGTATGGAGAAGTGCTATGGGTGACAAACCTTCGGGTTGTGTCTTGCGCAAATTTAGGGTCAGGCAACAGGCGACGTCCTCTTGCAATTGGAAGTATGCACGGGGTTGGGTGGTTACCTGCCGGGTCAAGTACTCCTCACCACGGACAGCATGAGTTTTTATGCTGTTTCTATGGTTTGGGGAAAAGCTACGGAGGGGAGTAGGGGGGGTCCATGAGGGCGGCCTGGTGAGGAGGGATTTCAGAAAAGTTATAAGTGACAGGGATAGAACCCGGGACTAGAAGGTAGCATTCGAGAGGAGGAGGTAGAGGAGGCGATTTTTAGTATGAGTAAAGGAAAGGCACCAGGTATAGATGGCATTTCGAATGATTTTTATAGGGCGCATTGGGGAAGTATTAAGCATTGTTTGGTTGATGTATTAAATTGCATGCTCACGGAGGGGAGGTTAGGTATGTCACAAAGTACGGGGGTAGTTGTGTTGGTGCCCAAAAAGGGAGGGGGGAGGGGTCTGAGTGCATATAGAGCAATATCTCTTATGTGCTCTGACTATAAAATCTTTGCAAAAGTTTTAGGAAACAGAATGAGGAAGGTTATGGGGTCGGTTATTCACGAGGGACAGCTAGGCATACCAGGTAGGAGCATGAGGGACGGACATGTACGTATTAGGGAGTTTTTGGAGGAATGTCAAGGGGGGGGTGTCCTCGGGCTTGACTGGCAAAATGCTTATGACTGTGTTGATAGGGATTTATTGAGGCTTATTTTATTGAAGCAGGGTTTTGGAGAGGGAATTGCAAGATGGGTGGATACCTTGTATGCCACGGCTATGGTACGCATACAGGTAAACGGTAAATTGGGTCAGCCGGTCCGTATGGAAAGGGGTTTGAGGCAAGGGTGCCCCCTCTCCCAGCTGCTTTTTGCTTGTATGCAAAACCCATTTTATGAGCTGGTGGATGGTGGTTTGAGGCGTGGAACGCTGAGCAGTGACCATGCAGCGCATGGTCACTGCATGGTACGTAGATGATACCACAATTCTGTTAAAAGGGGAGGAGGATTTGCAGATCGTGGGATGGATTGTTGAGTTTTTTGGGGCAGAGTCAGGCATGTGCGTTAACAAGGCAAAATCGAAATTATTGGAGGTGGGTACATGGGTGGGGGGGAGGTTGGGCGAAAGGTATGGGTGGTCAGTCGTGGTGCAACTTAGAATATGTGGCATCGTGTACATGGCAGATGAGAGGGAGAGCCGAAGGGTAAACTCTGAATTGGTGGTTAACAAGGCTTTAGATCGACTTCGGGGGTTAAGAGCTGGGGATGTCTCGTTGCAACAGAGGACAGTAGTGGTTAATACACTTGTTTATAGTAAAGTATGGGGTGTGGCCGCGGTGTACCCTTTAAGAGATACGGATATTCAGGATCTGCAGAGAAGGGTCTTACGTTATGTTTGGGGTTTCGGGAGGGCTTGGTTAAGTCGGGAGGTTGTCATGACCCATGTTCGCCGTGGGGGTTTAGGTCTCTTGGCTTTGGGGCCACGGGTGAAGGCCCTCTATGTAAAGCAGCGGTTCCTTAGGGCGGGCGGTGAGAAGGGCATCCGGGTGGGTCGGGTAATGACCGAAATGCGTAAATGGTGGAGCGGCAGGGGATTAATAGAGTGTGAGGACATGCTGCGTTTGTTGTTAAAGTTGAGAAATGCGAAACGGATCCAGGTGGGGCGAATGGTCAGCATATGTTGTCGTAGGGAAATTGTACAGGGATTGTCTGTTTTTCCGCTGTATAATTGGGGGGAAATATGGGAAGGATTTTGTAAACTTAAGTTGGCACCAAGGGTTCGTGAATTGGTGTACAGATTTGTCATGGGGATTTTAGCATCAAAATCGGTCTTAAATAGGATGGGTTTGGTAAGGGAGGCGGATTGCTTGCGTTGCGGTCTTGAAGAAACAGCTTTTCATGCTGTCTACTTTTGTGATACCTTGGACAAAGTTCGTTCGTGGTTGGGGCGGGTTTTAGATTTTCTTAGTGGGGGGAAATATTTCACCTTACGGGCCTTAACATTGGAAGTTAGCGGAGTATCAAGTGAGGTACGAAGAGCAATAATGTACGTGGTGGCTGATTTCCTCTATATCTCGTGGGGTATGCGGGAAACCGGGGGATCAGGCAGGATCAGGGCAATTGCGGCAGGTATCTACAGAAACGTATTGCAGAAATAAACTCGTATATGGTAGAAGTTGGGATAATAGTTTTCCGGCAAAGTATCGATGTCTTACTGTTCAAATGTTGCTGCAACTGCGGGTGGGGTAAGGCAACAGGGGGCTGGACTCCCCCCGTGATAGCACCAAACGGTATGTTAGAGACTTTAGGGTAGAGCGCGGGTTTTAGGGAGTGACGTGTATGTATTATGAATGGTTCCGTACGTCTGTGTGTGTATGGTTGTGGCGTTGTGTGGCACTGAGATCTTGAATTACTCATAAAATGAAGTCTTGTGGAATGTGTGACACGTTTTGTTAAGTTTATATGTGGCGTGATAGATGTTATAAGGAGTTTAGTGTTGGTAACTTACTAAAATCATAATAGACCATTTGGATATTACTTTTTCATGTTGTAATCTTGGGTTCTTTAAAATGTGTACATAGCCTAGTATTGTACCGACATGTAGGATGAGGTGTATTATCTTGCATTTTGAGTGTGAACTTCACGATATGCAATGTTTTGAAAGTTTATAATTCATGGTTAACATTAATATTTGATATTATATTGGTGGTGTATATTCTTCTACTTATTACAGTGTTGTGTATAGGAGTGTAATGTTTTCATAACTGTTTTAGTCTGTAAATTTATGTTGTCTTGTTCATGCACTACCAACTCTTAGGTAAACACTCATTAAGGTTTTGATGAGGTCAGTGTATGACCATTCATTAGGATAATTAATGTATGTTATTTAGAACGGCGACTGTACATACGGGGGGGGGGGGGGTAGAAGTGTCAGCTGTGTCTGCACTGGCAATAATGATTGTAAAAGGAGGGTTTGTAGGTTATGTATATGGTTGTGGGTTATGTATATGGTTGTGGGTTATGTATATGGTTATGTATGGTTGTGGGTTATGTATATGGTTATGTATATGGTTGTGGGTTATGTATATGGTTGTAACATGGCCATTATCTATGGTGTTCTTTAAATGTACCAGGATTGTGTACTAGAGGTTTTGTAATATCTAGTGTGGTTTTTAAATTTATACTCTTATACATTATTGTATTTGTCCTATGTTCTAAATAAAAATATAAAAAAAAAAAAAAAATGTAGATATCTAGCCAGATTCTTCATTTTCATTTGTTAGTCACATCAAACAAATTTTTAAATCTTGCAGTTTTAGTTTTCGTAATTTATGCAGTCCGAAAATATCTTGATAAGCTAGTTCTTATACATGCGTTTGTTTCCTCATTGACTTTTGCACGTGTTTGTGGGTTTTTCTAACGACTTTCTAAAGACTTTTTTAACGAATCGTGCAGGTAGATGACATATTTGGTTCCATGTTGGGTTCCCATTAGTCTTCTATGACCTGCAGTCACACCCTAGCAAGGCAAGAGGAAAGGGATATCACGGATATTACCTGGAGTTTACCTGGAGAGGGTTTTGGGGGTCAACGCCCCCGAGGCTCGGTCTGAGACCAGGCCTCGTGGTGGAATCAGGGTCTGATCAACCAGGCTGTTATGGAGACATCTGTTGAAGATTTTTTATGTGAATGATGATTCGTTCTGTGAACTGAAACTGTTAAGTTTACTGAACCCAAGTATCTTGTCGATATATTAGAATATTTTACGTCGAGGTCGGTAATGTTTCAGCTAATTACTGCGTATACAAATAACCCGCACATAAAAGACAGAAGCTTACGACGACGTTTCGGTCCGACTTGGACCATTGACAAAGTCACACTAACAGAGGTGGAGCAGGACGGCTATATATAGGCAGGAAGAGGTGGAGGTAGTAGTAGTGGTAGTAGTAGTAGTAGTAGTAGTACAAGAATTGTATATAATACCGACAGGATGAAATGACACATGCACAACACCCGGGCATCCCCACCGTAGACGTTTCGCCATCCAGCCAGCCACTGGATGGCGAAACGTCCACAACAAAGACAACCAGACGCCGCACATGTGTCTAATTTCATCAGTAGTTGTAGTAGAAGAAGAAGCTTCTGTCTTTTATGTGCGGGTTATTTGTGTATCGTTCCAGTCACGGTATTGTGCCTTTTTGTTATTTATTTAATTACTGCGTATTTATTGCGTATTCTTGAGTAATTAAACCTCGGGCTGTTGAGAGAAATTCTCAGTAGCTTATATATGGAGTTTGCTGTGTGTGTGTGTGCTTCAAAATCGACACTATTGAAAGGTTGTCCAAAACTACAGCGTGCGAGCAGTATAGAAGAGCAGAAATGTTATTTAATTTGCTAAAATGTTGGGAATAACGATGCGTGTGGATGCAGACATTGTACGATTATCAAATTTTCAAGCCCTTTGTTCAGAAGCTACAAGTACCGAAGACAATTACTATAAAAACCTATTAGTTTAGTAGCTATTTCATTATTTAATAATGTTTTGAATGCTATAAGTTTCACAGAAAGGACAGTAAATGGGCAAGTATATAGGGATGCTGGAAATGGCTGGCATGTTGGGTCAAATAGGCAGCTGCCGAGACAACAATACTAGGTACGAGATGCAGCCTCAGTTATTCTCAGAGACTTGGTAGGGCAGGAGACATCACTGTGAGGCTCTCAGCTGATACGCACTGTCATAGATAACCTCAATATCATACGCAGGTAATACATAAAAAGCTCTTACTGTTCTTTATATTTGTACTTTTGAAATAGGACAATCCAATAGTGCTAAATTATTATTGTCTAGGATTAGGTATCTCGGCAAAGCCGTGTTGGCATCCTCATGTGTTTTATTAAAGACTTGTCCATTTAAGGGGCCTTGAGACCAGTGAAGGGCTTTTGATTCAGTGAATTTGAGCTATCTTCCGGCACAATGCACTCAGTTCCCTGCACGGGTGGAAACGTTGGCCATGTTTTTTTACACCTGCTGTCCCTATTAACATCAGTAAGTAGGTACCTGAGTGTTAGTCGCATATTGTGGGTCGCATCCTGGGGGACGAGCTTTTAAGGGGCCCAAATGGAAATAAGACATTCCATGATGACGCACTGACCAGGTCAGGAGTCAACAACACGACAAAACCCCCGATAAATGGAATTGAGGGGATTTGGAAGGATAAAACCATTGATTAAACCTTTCTGGTCTACCAGAATGGAAAGGAGTTAGAAGTTAATAGGTGAAACTGGACTGTGAAGTGAGGCGGGAAGGGGTCAACTGAAAGGGGTTTGTGAAGTTAAGGGAAAAGTGAGAAGTGAAGAGGGTTTTGAAGAAGAAAATTTACTAGTAATTCAGTGGTGATTGCTAAAGCAGATACTAGGGTGTACTGGTGACTGGAAAAGAGAAATAAATATTATTGTATATGAGTTAAAGAGTGAATAGTGAAAATGGCAGGCATTAGGGGGGTACAGGCTGCCATAATTATATTTATCTATGTCCTTCAATTCCATGAAGAAAGAAATCAGTCATGGGGGCTGGAAAAGGTGAATGGAGTAACAGGACCCTGGACAGTAAAAGCCCAATATCCACTAGGAATTTTTATTGACCTAAGAAAAGCTTTTGACACAATAGACCACGGCATCCTACTCCACAAACTTGACCATTATGGTATAAGAGGCCATTCACAGGGTAGTTAAGTATGACACAAGTTAAATGAGAGATGGAAGCAAACTCGAAATTAATTTTAAGGGTATATATGATATGACCTGAGAGGTGCAGAATAAGAAAATTATAGTGGAATCAACATTAATAAGAGCGAGATTAGGCTATCAGACTCGACCCCTCTCCCTTCCCTGTAAGTAGAACTAAATACTGGAGCGTAGACGAGAGAGATACATGATAATATACACTTGGAAAATCCTAGAGGGATTAGTACCAAACCTGCACACGAAAATCACTCTCTGTGAGAGCAGACTCGGCAGGAGATGCAACATAACCTGATGAAAAGCAGAGGCGCCACGAGTACACCGAGAGACAACACAATTAGTGTCCGGGGCCCAAGACTGTTCAACTGCCTCCCAGCATACATGAAGGGGATTACCAATAGACCTCTGGCTGTCTTCAAGAAGGCACTGGACAGGCTCCTAAAGTCAGTACCTGACCAGCCAGGCTGTGGTTCGTACGTCAGTTTGCGTGCGGCCAGCATTAACAGCCTGGTTGATCAGACCCTGATCCACCATGAGGCTTGGTCTCAGACCGAGCCGTTGACCCCCGAAACCCTCTCCAGGTAAACTCCAGGTACCTACCTGACAGTACAAAATCACTGCAGTTGAACCATGTGAAACCAGGTTGTGTTTTCACTGAAAACACAACCTGGTTTAACATGGTGCTACCTGGGATTTTTTTTCATCTTTGATGAAACTATATTTTATTACACATTGTTATGGAGCTGTGAAGTGCTTTTGGTCCAACGAATTGGTCCTGCACTTCCTTGGATTGAAACTGATTACTTCCTATCCCTCCAAGTCCTGTATATACGACCCTTGTGGATTCAGCGCTTACCACACAAATTTTATACAGAGCTCTACGCTAGTGTTAAGTTATTTATCCCAGGGTGTGATGGGGGATGGATCGTCCATCTTCTAAACACCAATATTTTCCTATACACTTTTAAAATACCTGTTTGTGCAATTTTCATATAGGAAGGGAATGGAGAAGTATAAAGGCAAGCCAATACAACCTGGGAAGGTAAGAGTATATTGAACTTTGGGGACTCCTGAGGAGGCAGGTGTGTTTCCCTGGGGCAGGATGGGGTGTGCTTAGCATGCCTTGGAGTCCAGTCCCTGGACCAATTATGTACCTCTGTAATCTTTTGACTACCGCCCACAGGATGGGTATGGGGTGCATAATAAACATATTAAACTAACTTAGCATGCCTATCATCATTCCTGGTAATAGTTACAACGTGCTGGAGGCAATTATATTTATATGCATAATTTTTGTTAGTATTAGTGTGTTATGCTTGTACTCGCCCCGTGTTACCTCACCTCACCTAATACCGGTTTTACTAGTTTCTTGTCTCATCAACCCTGTCGTACCTACCCTTAAAGTTGTGTGATGTTTGCTTTCGTTATATCCTCGTCTACGTTATTCCTGTTCTTGATCCTCAGGCTGAAAAAGAAGTTTTTTCCAACATCGTGTGACTCATTTGAGTCTAACTTCCATTTGTCCCTTTGCCTTATCAAGCCCTCAAAATACCTTGTTATCTTGTACTCCATTATCCTGCTTTTCCTAATCTTGGCTTCCTGTGATCGTTAGATTTTTTTTTCTTTCGTTGTAAGTCACCTCTAGGACCAGTTTTGCTGGGAATTTCTTGGCATTCTTTTCATTTTCTTCAATCCTTAGTCAAGTTTTGGGGCTCTAGGGGGATGTTGGATGCTCTCTCGCTGATCATATATTTGTCGTATATAGTCCTGAATGGACTATATACGACATATATGGACGCACATTGATGTAAGACCCACAGCAGATGAGGTAAATACATTGTTGTGGTCTTTGAAAAGGTGAGATCCTCTGACATTATCACTCCCAGGTCTTTCACATTTTTTCGCTCTATTGTATGGTTAGAATTTGTTGTATACCTTGATACAGTTTTAATTTTCTCAAGTTTTCCATATCTGAGTAGTTGAAATTTCTCTTCATTGACCTTCATATTGTTGTCAGTGGCCCATTTGAAGGTTTGATTGATGTCCACTTGGAGTCTCGCTGTGTCTTCGAAGGAGGTCACTGTCATGGCATTTCGGGTGTCATCCGCAAAGGAAGATATGGAGCTATGGCTTATGTCTCTGTTTATGTCAGATATTAGGATGGGAGTGAGTACTGTGCCTTGTGGAACAGAGCTTTTCACTGTAACTGCCTCAGACTTTACTCTGTTTACTATTACTCTTTGTGTTCTGTTTATTAGGAAGTTATAGATCCATCTATCAACTTTTCCTGTTATTCCTTTATCGCGCATTTTGTGCGCTATTACACTATGGTCGCTCTTGTCGAAGGCTTTCGCAAAGTCTGTATATACTAAATCTAATTTTTTATCCTCTAAAGCATTCAGGACCCTGTCAAAGTGGTCTAGTAGCTGGGACAGGCAGGAGCGACCTGTTAGTGCTATCAGTCTGTAGTTCTTTGTAATTACTTTACTGCCACCTTTGTGGAGTGGGTCTATGTCTGTTGTTTTTAGTGTGTGTGGGATGACCCGTGTGTCCATGCTCCCTCTTCATAGAATGCTGAAGGCATATGACAGGGGCTTCTTGCAGTTCTTAATGAACACGGAGTTCCATGAGTCCGGGCCTGGTATCTTTACTGTACATGTGCCTTATTTATCAACTTGTTGGTACTGTATATCTATGATCTAATGAAGCTAGATAATACCTTCACTTATAACGAAATTCTGACAAACACTTACATAACATACATTTGTAAAATGTTAAATAATCAGTCAGCACTTAGATCATTGTATATTATTGTTCTGTACTATGACCTTAACAGTCAGAGTAGATGCAATTATAAAAATGCTAGACCTGCTTTACACAGCATTGGAAAATAAGGAATATCCGCTATTGACCTAAGAAAAGCGTTTGACGCAGTAGACCACGGCATCCTATTCCACAAACTTGACCACTATGGTATAAGAGGCCATGCGCTTACATATTTTAAATCCTACCTTTCTAATAGGTATCAGTATGTCACCATTAAAGACACAGCCTCATCAATACGGCCACTTGATACTGGAGTTCCGCAGGGAAGTGTCCTTGGACCCCTGCTCTTCCTCATTTACATCAATGATCTTCCAAACATATCCCAACACCTGAAACCCATTCTCTTTGCTGACGACACGACTTTACGTCATCTCCCACCCTAATCTTGCCACCCTCAACACCATTGTTAACGAGGAGCTGCTCAAAATATCGACTTGGATGACAGCCAATAAACTTACACTTAACACTGGCAAAACCTACTATATTATGTTTGGTAGCAGAGCAGGTGTTGCACAACTTAACATTAAGATCGACAACACTCTAATTGCCAGACATAATGAGGGCAAATTTCTTGGCCTATACCTCGACAACAACCTAAATTTCAGCACCCATATCCAACACAACAAAAAAAGTATCCAAAACGGTGGGGATCCTCTCCAAGATACGATACTACGTGCCGCAAACTGCCCTTCTCACACTATACCATTCACTTACATATCCATACCTCACCTATGCTATCTGTGCTTGGGGTTCAGCTGCAGCAACACACCTAAAGCCAATAATAACCCAACAAAAAGCCGCAGTAAGAATAATCCCTAAATTCCATCCCTGGCAACCCCTCCCCCACTCTTCATAGATCTAAACTTACTCCCTGTTCAGAACATCCACACTTACTCCTGTGCAATCTATATCTACAGGACCTTAAATTCCAATATTAACCTTGACCTAAAATGCTTTCTTGATAGTTGTGACAGGATCCACAGGCATAACACCAGACACAAACATCTCTATGACATTCCCCGTGTCCGACTAAACCTTTACAAAAATTCAATGTATTTCAAAGGACCTAAAATCTGGAACACCCTACCTGAAAACTCTAGAACTGCAGACACACTCATCACTTTCAAAACTACAGTTAGAAAACATCTTATCTCCCTGATCCACCCCGTCAACTAACTACATGATAACCACCTGGT